GAAAACAAATAAAGCAATAGAGGAGGTTTAGACTTTCATAAAGATATAAATAGGTCTTATACATCTTCATAAACATGTAGGAAAAACACAGGCCAAATGAAGTTAAAGGTAGATGAAAAGTGGATGGAAAAAACCCCACAAACTTTAAAGCACACCAGAAAGGATCCATCCTGATTTACTGGTACGCGGCGCTTTTATTAATAGCCCGGGAGATGGGACAGAACGCACCGACTAAATCCGCACATTACAAAGCCAAAATCTACAAACACACTGATGGGCAGGATTAAATTCATTTAAAAACAATGTAACTTGATGCACAAGTTTCTAAACTGGGGTAGGAATAATTAACTACATGTTGCAAAACGAAAAAAAAAAAAAACCCAAACCATCAGATTGCGGATTCTAAACAGGCACCCAGAGTCAGGCACGGAGAGATCCTGGGACTGACGAGCGCCTCGGGAACCCCGCACTGCTTCGGTCATCGCACTTCTCAGCGGTGAAGAATGACCAAGGGAAGAGAAACAACAACGATTGGCAGTCTAAGGGATATCAGAAATGGTTTAAGAAACTGAGATCCGGCCTTGAAAATACTGACGAGAAAGACAAACAGACAAATATGGAAAAGCCTCGTCCAAAACCATAAAAGAAATGAACAATATATGATGAACAGCTGCAAGACTGAGAATAGACACTTGAAAAATTGTGACAGTAAAGATGCTCTGAGCAGCGGAATACGCTGCCTGGGGAGGCTCTGGCACTTCTGCCACCCCAGTTACAGGTTAGACACGTCTGACCCTGAGTTTTCGTTTAAATTATCCTATTTTAAGAACAGACTGGATGAGATTCTTTCCCTTATTATTCTTCTCATATAGTATCCAAGTACCTCAAGAACATTAATGTATTAATTTTTAAGCTTAAAAGAGAAGCCTCCGCTTCACAGGCAGAATCCAAGGAAGAAAGCAGTATCTGCTGATATTCTGCTAATTTGAATGTTCATCTTGTGTTTTGTTAATACTTCACTTTTATATAGCGAGCTGTATTTCAAAAATACAGAGCACTGGAACCAATTGATCCCACGAGGTCAGAGGACAAGTTAAGATGGTTACCAGGAAATAGAAATCTCCTTGGAAAAGTCCAATTTAACCCACTTACTGATGGTAACGGGAGAGGATGGGGAATTTGGGTTCCACGTCAATCTCTTAGAAGGAACATGATCTGTAACAACAAACACTTCTATACCTGTTACTAAACCGTAACACCACCACGTACATACATAATCTGCTTTTTCAGCGGCCTCTACAACTAATGTGCCATGTAAGTCAGAAAAATCACTTCCCTCCTGAAAGTCAAGATTGTGTTTCAATGCACGGAGACGCCAGAGTGTTCTTTAAAAAGAAAAACAAGAATTCAGTCGTAGCATTTTCTTGTCGGGTCTGAGAAAATGCTTTTCAGTTTTGTTGAAATTTACAGCTCCAGGCACCAAATATCAAATACTTTAGTCCAAATGGCTAAAGAGCTGTTGAAATCAGAAAAAAAAGAAAAAGAAAAAAAAAAGAGGGAGAGAGAGAACAGTGGTCTAAGTATTCAGCAATCTTAACGTTAGACAATGGCACAAGCCATTGAATGAGCTGAATTTGAAGTCTCAACAGAAAAATAGCATTTAACATGGCTGTGAAGAAAGGACTTATCTGCAGAAACATTTAGGAAAATGTAATATTTATCAAATAAAAGGTGGCGCTTTAGCTTGAGCAAGAGGATGCTTTGAACTGAGTAACCAAAACCAGTCTGCAGTTCATCGCGATGTTGCACAGCTTTACTATGAGCAGGACGTCAGAGAGATCCAGAGAGGGCTTAAAAAAGACGATTCCCTGGAAACACGGCTTTCGTAGGGCTGTCCTTCTGAAAGCAACTGCTGTCTTACCTCCATCAGCGCCCTGCAAGTGTGAAGTTCCTCCCCAGGACCGAGAGGCCTCATGGACGGCACTAAAGGAGTGCCCCTTTCGTTTCAGGACACCTTCCTCAATCCTCACCCAGATACGGATTTCTTTCCATTTGCCAGTCAAGCATTAGGGGACAGACAACAGCGTCGCCAATGTTGATAAAGCTAAAGAATCTCCAGCAAATGACTGTGAAACTGTAGCCTTAAAAGCAATCAGCTTAAACTGATGAAGGTCGCACTGTGGTTCAAAAGTGGCCTTACACCGACCGCGCACTGCCTTCCTCCGGCACCCACCCGCCACGGCACACCAAACCCACCCGTGAGCCGATCTAGCCGAACGCTAACCCCATACATTATTTTTTTTTCCAGTAGCAGTATTTTTTGCTTCCAATCGTATTAGCTCTCTGCAGAGCCATACAAGCCCAAAGCTACCAGAGCAGAGGCGGCAGAGGCGCATACGAGCAAAGCGCGGGGAGGGAAAAGCCAACTGCCCCTTTCCGGGGCAGCAGGGAGCCCCGGCAAGGTTTAACGACCAGGTGACGTTGATCCAAGATTTCTTTTCTTGGATAAACCAGAGATTGTAGCATCAGAGTAGTTTTTACACCCTCAGATGATATGGTTAACTAACATTGATTTATATGCTCCAAACCCAGAACATTCCTTGGAAGTTAGGTAAACCAAACACAAATTGCAAGCAATTTTTGAAGGGTCTATACAGCCTCTATGTAGTTACGGGACAGAAATATTTATTGCATTTGGCATGGAAGCTGCAGTCTGTGAGCACTGGGCAAAACCCAGAACTGGGCGAGCACTGGAGCACCAGATAGCAAGCAAATTCTTTCTGTTCCTTTCCCAATAAATTATATACAAAGGTGAACAGCTGTCACACTGACATTTCAGATCTGAAATATAGTTAAGAGCAAGTTATAACTAAGGCAAAGAAAATGAATGTCAGAAAGTTTTGTTTTTTCAAATTTCAGATAAGCTCCTTAGCCCTAGGGTTAATCGGAGAGCTCGAGAGCTCTGTTTGGAGTCTAACTTCTTCCCAGAAAAATGTTTCTTTGTTTAGTATGTGTGTAAACACGCACAGGTAAGGGTATATGTATTTATATAAATAATATGGCACACCTTTAATTCATTGCCCAGGGTAATCAAAATACGAGTGGTCCTTCAGAGAATCTTTTTCTTCCTGTATTAAGCAATACCAATTAACAAGAGGAACCATCTGAGCAGCGTTACGCCGCAAAGCAGCTCCACAGCCTCCCCCTGCAGTCAGCACGGCACCACCTGCTCCAGAGGTACCCAACGGGGATGCGATGGATATGTCGGTCCTCCACGGCAAAGTGAGCTCCTGCTCGTCGCTCCCAGAGAGTTCCCGGCTGTCAGGTTAACTCAGCTAACGATAATACCAAGGGGATGGAACAGTAGTCTGACACCCGACTGCTTAACACGCTGCCAGATTGCAGGCAGCCAGGGAAGCCGAATAGGTGAAGCTATAGCAAAACGAAAACAAGCTCTAATTATCTCTACTCTACTAACGTGTTTCTCATCACAATCCTGTGACACTGATGAGAATTCCCAAAGTCTAAATCTTTTACCTTCACATACGGCCACAGCTAAGCACTCTGCACCGCAGCCGTGAATATATACGACAGCTGCTTCAAAAGGTACAGATATTTCAAGTAAGGGATGCGGTGCCTCCCAAGGACAGCCGTCAGCCGCACTGCTCAACCGGACACAACGGTGTCGAGGGAAAAGCTTTTCTTTCCATCGCCGACGCCATTCCTCTCATTTCCTCTCTCGGCAGAGCAGCTAAATATTTAACAAATTCAAGCGTCTGATCTTCTCAGGCCGAGAAGTTACGACATGCTCACAGCCACAAAAGCCAAGCAAACCAAGATCGGCCACAGAAGGCCTCGGCTATCCGATCGATACGACGCAAAAAGGCAGGAGAGAGAGCATCGTGCGCTAATTGGATTTAGCCTCCAGGGTTTGTTTCTTCAGTGTTTCTCCGTTAAGTGCTCAAATCGCTAAGAAAGGACCTAATGCGCCTCAGAGGAAAGTTTACTTTAACATCAGTTGCAGACGCACTGGAAACGAACACATTTTACAGTCCCACACAAACAGGAGGTATCTTCTGATGAAAATCTGTTTTGTAATCAAAATCTTGATTGCTTCATTTGTGGGGAGAGGGAAGGTGGCTCAAGAAATATAAACATACACAGAAATTACACCGCTACGGATTCCAAGTTTAAATATGAACCCACAAAGATTATATTTCGAGAACGAGGACCAGCTATAACATCCCCAGCCACTTTATGTGACAAAATAAGATACCTGCAGCCGCATACTGCTTACTAAATATTAACGCCAGCACCGTTCATCTGCCTGCCAGCACATGTTTCCAAAGTAATGGGACTGCTTTTTCTTCCCCCGTCCCTAACAAAAAAAAAAAGTTATATTTAGCATCTGTGCTTTTATTTCACAAACTCCAAGACGTGCCACAGCCTGTCCATCCTCTCCAGCGTTTCAAATCTGACCAAGCACAGATCCCACAAGATACTGTACTTATTGGGCTAACGCGGTGAAAAGGCCATAGGTTTACAGCGCAACCGCCAGGACAACAGACATTTAATCTGTAAGGCAGGACCATTAGGACAGAATTTCCTTTGACCTATAGAGACAGCCCAGTGCCAGCGAGTCAGGAACAGGAGCATTCAGTCTTGCTGCAATGAATAAATGAAGCATTCAGAAGAATCGGGAGCGTTTCAGTTCCTACTGCAAAGTATTCAGTTAAACCATATATCTCATTCCTTCAGATGCTTCACGTACAGTGTTGAGTATTCCTGTTGTTTCTCTGTCCCTCTCTCTAGCCAAGGAACAGGACTACAAAACACATCCGGAAACGACAGGGGGAAAAAAAGGCTTCGTTAGTCTACTGCATCCCTAAGCAACTGCCACGTTAAAGCGTCATAAGGTTGTTAGATGACATCCCATCTTTACAAACCAGAACCAGGCCGGCACGCTGTACCCCGGTCGTGCTTCTCCAGATCATACTCACCCATTTGCTCCACAATTTCTGGTGGAAAAACTCGAGAAGCAAAAGCTCGTCGGAAAATATCTGAGAATTCTTTGTCAAGGCCACCAATGCCCATTTTCTCAAAATTCCAGTCTGGGTTGATGATTGACTGGCGGTTCTCCTTGGTCTTTCATTTTCCTACAAAGAAAAAAAAAAAAAAAAGAACTCATTTCAGACACACAGCACAGAACGACAGCAAAGAGAAGTACAAGCACCAGCACGGTTCTACCAGGTCAGACCCATGTCCAGCCAACTGGATGTTCGGTTTCAGACGTGAGCCAGGAGGACGCCCTGCGGCGAGAACGCAAAGGCAGTCAGAGACTCAGTTTACTTCGTGAACTATTTTCGCAGCCTTCCAACCACCCAGCTCCGGGATTTTTTCGGGCCAGGCGTTGTTCCTATGTATTTAAGATTCCACAGTAGATTTCGATGCCACAAATTCACCTGGGTCCCCCTCGAACCCCTGTAAACTCAGCACCCGGAGTGCCCTCCAGCATCTAACCCACCACATCTACTGCCTGCACCTCCTTCCGCGTGTCCGAGCCAGCTCCTACCAGCTTCAGTTCGCGTCCCCTAAGTCCAATATCTGCAGAGACAGTGAAGAGTACCAGTGTCCCCTCTCTTCCAGGCTCCCTGGGATGATGTTAGGCTTGTCCTGCACCCTCCTCAGTGCACCTTGTCCGGGCAGAGCTCTCCTCACTTGTTCTTCCCACCTCACGCAGAAGCTGCTCCACACCTCACCGCCCCTCTTCTCCTCTGTCTTCTCTCTCCCTACTACGTCCTTTGACAGCAGAACCACACGCACTGTGGTTTGTTTGTATCTTAAACACGGGTAGGAAATCATGCTCCACTTCATTCATATTCCTTTATTAATAAGGTGTAACAATTCTTACCAACTGTGCTCAGCGATTCTTAACAGGGCTCAGGCTGCTGCCGAGCACAGGTCCAGCGTTTCTCCAAAACGATCGCACCTGGGATCCGGGCCCAAAACCGCAATCATTTTTGACCAAAGTTAGAAGTGTTCTTCCTCCCACGCATCACTTTATGGTTATTTATATCGAATTTCCTCTGCCATTTTATTTCTTAGTCACCAAGCCCTGCAAGAGCAGGCTTTGTCACCTCATTACTCAGTCTTTTTTCCAATTTATTCAATAATTATAATGAAAAGCAAAGCCCCCAGCCGAGATTCATGCTGAACTCCGCTGGCACTGGTTATTTACTTCTACCCTTTCATCGCTCACCTACTCATGCAAGGACCTTCTCTCTTACAGAGCTCTATTTAGTTTCTTTTTAAAGAAACTTCGATAAGGAACTCTGCTGGAAGAGCTCCGAGCCATCAGCAGACTGTCAGCCCTTATCCCCACGTGCCCCGATTCCTGCAACGAACTCCCGTAGGATCAGGACGTAGGACTGCCCTTACAGAAGACGGGCTGCCCCTTCCCAGAGTATCATCTCCATACTGGTACCCACTGATTTGATTCTTTATTACAGTTGCTGTTGATTTTTTTCTGTACAGATTTCAGGTTCAAAGACCTGTAGCTCTCCAGACCTTCTCCAGAATCCTTTTAAAAAACAGACAGCGCATTCGCCATCTTCCAGTCTTCAGATACCAGAGCAATTTTAAGCAAGGTTACAGAACACAATTACGAGGTCAGCTAGCTCCTTTACAGCTCAGAAGAATAAAAGACAGTCTTGGCAAACCACCACGGCCCATTTTGTCTGTTTGTTCCGTTATCTCTTGTAGAGCTACTTCCAGTTCAGCCGGATCCCCTCGGCACAGGCTTTGCAGTCTCCGTGCAATGGTGCAACCCCTCCGCCTTTCCTTTTTGTTGACAAACCACACGAGTTTTAGTGTTACAGAGCTCCTTACTCCCTTTTCAGAGAAGCTTTAAAGCACTCGGGGCATTCAGGAGGTAGACAATAAGCCCAAACGCTCCTATAAGAATACTGCCGAGATGGTGTCAAATCCACAGAGTCTCACCTGAAGTTTATCTGAGGGTATTTACAACAAGCACTGACACTCACCAGTTAGATCAATGCTGCCAAAGGGCTTTCAGCAACATCACTTTGCTTAGCTACCAGAGAAACCAACAGTGAGATAAAAACCCAGGGAGAAAGTAAAGACTGAAGATTATCCTTAATTCGTGCAGAAATTGCATGTGTTGTATTTTCTTAGGTTTACACAGTGTGTTACAGGATTGACCCTAGGGACCATTAACCCCCTTAAAGAGCCAGTCCTGGCAGACTGCAACTGTGCATCTGTTGATTTGTTCCATAACCTCTTCCAGAGATACTTCAAGTTGAGCTGGATGACGAGTTAACATCTAGAAGTCCAGGAAATACACTAAATAAAAGTCCTGCGTCAGCTGAATTAGACCGCTGTTAACCTTGGTCTAAACAGAGCTGGAATCAATACTTCAATTCCAAGAGCAGCAAAACAAAAACCACCCAATCAAGAACACGCCTCTAACGAAGACGTTAGGGACAACACGGCAGAATGTAGAACATATCGCACTAATACATCGTCCCGCGCAGGGCAGCGGGAGCAGCTGATTCACCGATTACTGCCTATTTATTGCTTCCTTATCAGGCGGCTCGGCCAGGGATGCTCCTCTCCCCGCAGAGCTTAGCCTACACTCCCCCCTTCTGGCTGCATCCGACCACGATAAAACTCTTGCAGATGGAATTAAAACATCATCCATTGATTTTACAGCATATGATTTTATGCTAAGTGGAAGAAATAGAATTGGTTTTTTTTTTTTAAACGATCACAATCCTTTTCTATTGAAAAAAATAAAGGCAGTGCTCAGTGACACTTACTTTACTTTTATCTCCTCTCTCCGAATTTAATTATTCACAACTTTACAATTCTCCAGAGACTAACAAAGCACATCAAGTAGCTCTGCCTCAGCTCAACGAGAAGATTAAATAAAGCACCAATCTGACAGGAGTAAACTGAGGCATAAGCAACTCTTTTGTCTTTTCTGCAGGAAATGAAATCGAGTCAGGTGAAGGATCCCCTATTTCCAATCCATCAGCTCTCCCACAGCACCACTCTCCGCACCTGTACATGCTGGGAGGGAGACTGCGGGTCCTTATATGGCTTTGAACATCAACCAAGTAAAATATCCCCGTTTGCTCTGATGCAATAAATTGGATTATGTTAATACTCACCTCAAGCTGTCCTACCCAAACACAGTAAAAACTAAAAGGGCTGTAATCATATAATCACAGGCATGAACTAATTGCCCATGCAAATTTTATTCAGTGCTCTTAAAACCTGTATCCTTGTTAATATGCTTAATCGCAGTCATCTACAACTCAGCCCACGGACCCTCTGGTGGGGGTTTTTTCAGTACAGATAACTGGCTGTGCTTTCAGATAACAACGTCCACGTAAGATGCAAGGCATGTGGTCACACAACAGCCTCGTGTCTCCCCATTTTTGCGGGTGACTGTAGCACCTGAACCAGACAACTACGAAGTCACAGCCTCGCGTTTGAGGGAAGATGGTAGTGTCAAAACAGCCTCCGCCACGAGCTGAACGAGTTGAATTCTACTTTCCCAGTGCTGAATCAGTTGAAGTCTACTTTCCCAAGTGGCTGCTACCCGCACATGTTTTATTTCTGTACCAAATACTCAAAGTACTGAGCATTCACAGTCAAGCAGAGCTGTGCTTTGAAGCCTATTGCAAAAATAATAAGTATTAAAACTCAATTCAGTGCTCATCTGAGCCAGCCAGGTTCACTGAACCCCACTGGCAGCAGCCTTCACCTCCCACTTATCATCTGTGGAAGAGCAGCAGCAAAAGCAACGGTTCTCTTAGCTCACAGACTCCAGGAAGAGGAAAAAAAAATAGGAAAGGAAAAAAATAAGAGTGTCTGTTCAAGTACAGGACTTGAATCACACCCAGAAAAGTGCCTACAGCCGTATTACGAGCGAGAGAGGGATATGCAACTGTACTTCCTAAGCATTGTCCACTTCGGAACACTGATAAGAAAAGGAAGTGCAGAGTACGTGTCTGCTCTGCAGCACGGCCACCATGGCCCCAGGGCACACGCAAAGCCACCTGCAGGGAAGGGGCCCTCACTGCCCACGTCGTGGTCCGGGTCCCCACCATTCGAGCTGGTGGCTCTACAGGAACACACCAGATTCCCCCCTAGCCACACACCAGTTTCTGAATGAATGAATGTGTGGAGGACGCATCAGTTATCCCCCAATTTCTTTGCTAGTAAGGGCTGAAATCGTACATAAAGATTTGGTTTTTTCAGGATTTAGAAACCGTCCCTTTTTCAAAAAAGTTCACAGTTTCATTAACAATCTTGCTGTGCAAACAGTTAAAACACACGCAATGAGCCCTCTGTGCTGTGTTTTGCAGCTGCCATCCGTTTCTGAAGAGCAGGACTTTCAGCAGTCAAGAAAACTGAAGAGCTCTTCAGAAGCTGTCCCCTCTCCTTGAAGGAGAGATCTCATTAGAGATGGGATTTTCAGCAGTTTTGCACTCACTTTGAAACTTCGGCTACACATTCAAGAAAGATCTCAATTTCCTATTTCCTTGCTGTTTTAATTAAATTCCATTTAAGAGGTGTTGGCTTATTAGCATCCCTGAAAATATTCTCTGATAGTTAAAATATTTCAACTTGTTGCTGACTTTTGCTGATGATACTGTTTCACGGTGCCGTTCTAATCTAGGTATAGGAGTCCAGAGTGCTTGGGATAACTTCTCTACTCATCTAACTCAATTTGCCATTGCCAGAATCTCTCAAAGTCACACTCACCTTTTCTCCTCCTACCTCTGTGTCTGTCTATTTTAGATGCACCACGCTAACAAGCACCGAGACCCACAGACCTGCTCTCGTACGTCAGTCAGTGCATGAGCTTCACACAGGGAGGACAGTGACTTTTGCAGAGCGCCGAAATCTGCCGGAGGGATGGTGTCTTCCCAGTGCGGTGGTTTTTAAGACAGTCCTGAGTATGTACAAACTGTTCTCTAAAGGGTGTGACAGATTCCCAAGGGATCAAATCCAGTCATCTGCTAGTTTAAATAGATACCCGGGAGACATTTTGAGACGCAGTTTTCAATGGATTAGGTCAAGTGATGTAACCAGAAAAACAAACTTTGAGACATACAAGTCTCCGAGGCCTGAAAAGCAGCAAACTTCCAGCATTATGTATCTCTTTGGATACAGTGGCACTCACCAATCAGATTGAGAGACGAGTTCTCAGCTTTTTCAAAGGCGACTTGACTGTTGCCAAGAACCAAACCAACCTCAATCTGCAAAAGGGAAGGAAACAGGTAATGACATTAAGCTATTAGGCTCAGCTTCAGATTGCCCCTTAGGTATTTCCAAGCACATCGCAGAGGGCAAGAAACAGCAGCAAAATCTCCACTACAAAAGTCACAGGGAAGAATACGAAATACCAACACCTCCTCTAAAACTATCATCACTGAATGCAGAAGCTCATCAGGTATAATAAATCGGCTTTTTAAAGTTATTCGTTTAGTTCAAAACCAACTATTTTACTTCAGCGAGATCTGGTGAGTAAAGAAGAAAATAAAATCATGTCCTTTCTACAGGAGGAAAAAAATGAAAACTTGGCATATCTGGGAGACAAAAGGGCTCAAAAGAGGATTTTTCCATTAATTAGTGCATAAAGACTAAAAGATCTTCCTTGCACCTTCTCCAGCTCTGCAGTTTATTGGGTGCAGCTCTAAGCCCCCAAGTACACGAGCACAGGAGACTGCATTAAACTGGAAACGATGCTCGTTACCTTCTCTGAGCCAAAAGACACAGCCAGACAAAATAAACGTGCAACTTCTCCAAATGTGAGTAACCCGAGTTCCTCCTTGTAGCAAGACCCGATCAGTGCTTGCATCCCTGCAGTCAAAGGGAATGAACGTGAATTCCTGCGAGCATACCTTCTGCTTTTTGCTTGCTCCAGACTCCCCTTTGAGAATGCTGGGGTCCATGGCCTCCATGTCCTTTACCAACAGCCCAAAAAGTTTGTCATTAAAGCTGAACACAAGCTGGGGGAAAAAAAAACAGAACAGTAGTGGATTTTAACTCATTAAAAAGCTAAAAATGATTTTGACAAGGCTACTAAGATTTGAAAAGAAAGAGGCCTGAAGACTGCGTTTACCACCCAACAAATTCCACCTAGTTTTTATCCTGTGAAGGTCTGGTGCACTGAACACGTCCTTTTCATGTCCGATCCTTCAAAGAGTAACAGATCAAAAGTAGCAGAACATGAAGTCAAGTGGAAAAAATCAAAGAAAAATTCTCCTTCCAAGAAAATCATCTATTTCCCCCTCTTTTCTCCCCGGCTAAATGTTCTGTATCACCTCTTGACATTTTCCTCTCACCTTAAATATTGGTGCTAGGCAAGGAGAAGAATTTAGCTCACACCTTTTAGTTCTTTCACATTTCAGTTTGACGAGGATACCTCAAAAATAGCGCCAGACTAGTGAAATTCAGAATCAGTATTAGGAAAAGGAGGGTCCATCCTACAGAAAAGCAGGCTGTCTCTGCCCAGTTCCTTTCCTCCAAGATTACATTTGCAACTGAGTTAAGACTCAGACCCTGCAAGTTGTAAACTACTATGAGATATACCTCGACCTGTCCTGAGAATATGGCAAACCAGAGGCTACCACAGGTGTTCGCAGGGGCAGAAGCCCATCGGCTGCAGGGCTGAGAAGGCTCAGTTACAGGGACATCAGCTTTCAGAAATCCCCAAGTCAAACGCTTCATACCTATTTTACTACTGGAGTCTGGACAGTAGCAATAAATGTTACAATAAAATACACTGCGCTTGAGAGGTGCTACTGAGAATTCATTAAAACTGGTGTTCATTTCCATCTTACGTAAAGGGAAAACAAAAGTTACTTCTCAAAAGATTCCAGGAGCTGCCACGCTTATATCCGACCAGGACACAACAGAGAGAGAACCCAGCTCTCCCAAGCCTCGGGATTTGAAAGATAAGACTTCTTTAGATAAGGAAAAGGCAGATTTTAAACCACTCTGCTCATGCTCTCAGAGAAAGTCACAATGGCTCAACTTTTCATAAAGAAACTGGTCACCCAATAAACAGTTTCCGCCTCTTGGCTGTCCTTTGCAGCACCGAGCCAGCACCCAGGCGGTCCGTACTTTACATCGCTGCAGTACAGGCACACACATGTTCCTTAAGAACATTTTAGTTTTAAAAAACAAAACCAAACCCACACCTGCTGGCCTACTGAGAAGGCCTGGCTGTTGAACTGCTGGATGAATTCAGCGGCCATCTTGTCTGTGTCGTAGGGGTTGGAGTCAATGTTCTTCTTCTGCAGAAAATCTATCTCGATTGTCATTGTGCCAATACACTGCTTAGCCTTGTCGAAAGTGTATAAGGAAACTGTGAAAATGAAAAAAAAAAGAAACAGCACATTTCAGAACAGCAAGGTCTTCCCACAATATATTAAACATACTATAAGTTTGGCAATATATGTTCTTCCATTCAGAATGAGTATTTAATAAAATTGAATATATGATTTCTGATAGAGACCCTTGTTTCTCTCACAACCACTTTCTACTACAAGATCAAAAATACAGCAAATACATCTCCACTGAAAATCCCTGCATTTCTCTAAAAACACTAATATTCCCCTCTAAAACAGCTCAAACACCATACAAGCTTTGGGGGATGAGGACAACGACAGCAAATTCGCACATGCTGTAGTGCCACAATGGCTATATCTACACCTAAGGGTTTGAAGGACATGTCTTCAGAAAGCCCAAAAGCAAGCATGAAGAGTAGTCTTGACCCAAAAAGCAATGACGAGAGGTCATAACTGGTTTTTGGTAGCAACAAGTTGAGTAGCTCTTCTCAAGATTCAGTAGCAGAAAGTTAAATTACTGCAAATCCAAGTGCAGTACTATAATCTACCAGGCTTCTACAGCCCAGAATGAAGCATCAACTACGTTTCATCTCTGACCCAGAGGAAACAGCCCCTACCCTAGAGGTGCACTTGGGCCCATCCTAACACACCCCAGGTTACCTTCAGTAATGCAGAATCAACTGAACAGCCCTTAAAAGACGGCAGAAAGCAAAGTGGCATGGAAGGTGCTTCACAGTCATCGCATCTAATCCCTGCAGGTCTCCATTTATATCATGTCAAAAACAAGGGACTGCTTAGGGCTGCTGCTGCTGGAGGAAGGACAGAAAGGAAAGAAGAGCGTGGTCCACCGCAACTTCAGGGATACTGCCTCATCACAACTGATCACAAGGACGGCTCTCACAAAGCACAGAGCCCTAATATTATTATATTAGTCTGGTTATATATTATTATATTATATCTGGTCACAAACCAGACTGTAGCAAAGGACAGAAGCAGATGTTTCTCCAGAAGACCGAGAAACATTACAGGTTGGCTTTGACTCTACAGAAGAAAGCCTCACCTGATACAGAAGTCACAGCTAAGGATAAAGCAGCAGGAGATGAATACGGGAAATGTACTTGGTGCAGAACCGACTATTTCCTATCAAGTCTCTTGGCAGCAGAACGGTTCCAGAATAAACCTGCAGATTCCTGGGAAGACGTGATGTCAAAACAAGCATCCAGCCTGCTATGTGATACGTGCTAAGAGAATAAAGAGAACCTGCCTCTTGCTCAAGTTGTTACAAGAAGGCATATAGGTCATCGCAGCATGCACATTTAATGTCCTTCCTGGTGTAAGAATAGTCCCCCGCGAACTGAGCTGTCAAAGAAACATCTCGTGGGAAATAGGGGTAAAGAAGGAACACTAAACCACTTCCTGAATTAAGGTCTATCTACTATATCAACTAGTTCTTTCAGAAAGGGAAATGGCAGCAGGGTTATCACATAAGTCACAGGTAATGAAGAAGGGACTTCGGCCCTGCCAGGGCACAACAGGAGATCTTCACAGAATTATCTGCGTTGGAAGGGATCTTTAAGATCATCGAGTCCAACCATCAACCCAACACTGCCCAAACCACCACTACCCCATGTCCCTCAGCACCACCTCTGCCCCTCTGTTAAATCCCTCCAGGGATGGCGACTCCACCACTGCCCTGGGCAGCCTGCGCCAACGCTTGACAACCCTTTCCATGAAGACATTTTTCCTAATCTCCATCCTAAACCTCTCCTGGGGCAACTTGAGGCCGTTTCTTCTTGTCTCATCTCCTGTTCCTTGGGAGAAGGTACCGACCCCACCTCGCTACCCCCTCCTTTCAGGGAGCTGTAGAGAGCGAGAAGGTCTCCCCTCAGCCTCTCTTCTCCAGCCTCAACACCCCCAGGGCCCTCAGCTGCTCCTCACCAGACGTGTGCTCCAGACCCCTCACAGCTCCGTTGTCCTTCTCTGGACCTGAGGCACTTACAGGTCACTTCAGGGCAGTTATTCCCCTTTACTTGCCTATCTCAGGGCTATGTCAAACAAAGCTTCCAGAAAGACTATCAGTCCCTGGTCACATCATAGAACAGAGGTGTTAACCGAATACAAGTAGCCCTTCCATCCAGGACCGAATGCTGGGGATGTCTGGTGCAGTGGTGAACGGTAACGCACTGCGGGGGATGCAGTCCAGTGAGCGATATACCGCACCAGCCTCAGAAGCCTGTGACGTCCTAGAAAGAGAGGAGCAGGCTGAGAAGGCGGCAGTGACCTCCTGGTGCTGAGGATGCAGCGGAGACAGCCAGCCCCGGCTCCGGCTGCGCACCTCCAACGCAAACAGGGGAGCGGATGAACCTGAACCACGCCGAAGGCGAGACAGCCGCATCCGCTCACGGCACTCAGCCTTTCCACAAACGCAAACTAACAAGATTCGCTCACCTGGAAAGCCTTTACCATAGCATCAGGGGCTCAGCGGGACTCAGCTTCACTGTACCACCAAGTAGCGGACTGCATTTAAAACTGACATTTAAATCATAGTTTTCCCATTATTAGGGGAATAAGACAAAGGGAGAGCCCGGGTAAATCACTAGTTTTATGAATACTTCTCCCTATCTGCAGAATAGCTTTACAAATCCTTTACACTCAGCAAGGAGTCATACGATGTTTAGTCACTCTGCACAAAATTACTGCATTATTTTCCTTAATACATGTTCCCACATAGCTGGTAAGTTTATAGCAAGGTCTAGTGCAAGTACAATCACAAATCTGCTAACAGCTAATCATGCTGAATATGAGCGTTTCTTTCCCCAAATAACTTTAGTACTAAAATGCATTTAACAGTAAGCCAGCTGGCACACAATCAGCAACCAAACAAGAGTGAGAAACAAATTTATGGGTCTCCCGCCCCATTATAGGTTATTCTTCAGTTTAAAAAACAAACCAAAACCAGCTAGCGAAAAGAAAGGGCTTCCAAGCAAGATCTGTGAGGAGTTGTGCAGAGAGACAAACGGACTCACTCTAGGTTGTCACTACAAAAAGAGATCCACAAAGGCATCCGACCTCACGCTCGAGCGCTGATCCATGCCCATGGACCTGCTGAGACCAACAGAGCCAGGAAAACAAACAGCCAAGGAGCGAGCTTCCCTAACAGTACCTCACGTCCACAGCCACACCGCTTCTCACTCTACGTCCTCCTCACTTTTGGACACAGGAAGCAGTCATCAGCTCTGCCCACAACCCTCAACTGAGAGAATTCCCTGGAATCACTGTAAACCCCTCAAATGGCAACACAGTGGCCTAAGGAACAGTCTGCTCCCCCTCAATGACCACCAGCCAGCCAACCGCTAGAGCAGGCTTCATCACAGCAACCTTGTCAAAGAAAAGGATGAGATGGCTGCCCCCAGGTAATCCCTGATGGTCGAAAGATGACACCAAGTTGGGCAGAAGTGTCTGCCTGCTGGAGGGCAGGATGGCTCTGCAGAGGGATCTGGCCAGGCTGGATCAATGGGCCAACACCAACAGTGTGAGGTTCAACCAGGCCAAGTGCCGGGTCCTGCACTTGGGTCACACCAACCCCATGGACGCTACAGGCCTGAGGTGGAGTGGCTGGAAAGCTGCCCGGCAGAGAAGGACCCGGGGGCGTTGGCCGACAGTGGCTGAACATGAGCCAGCAGTGTGCCCAGGTGGGCAAGAAGGCCAATGGCATCCTGGTCTGTATCAGGGATAATGTGGCCAGCAGGACTGGGGCAGTGATGGTCCCTCTGTACTCAGTACTGGTGAGGCCCCACTTCAAACACTGTGTTCAGTTTTGGGCCCCTCACGATAAGAAGGACATTGAGGTGTTGGAGTGTGTCCAGAGAAGGGCAACGGAGCTGTGAGGGGTCTGGAGCACACGTCTGGTGAGGAGCGGCTGAGGGGCCTGGGGGGGTTGAGGCTGGAGAAGAGGAGAGGGGAGACCACATCACTCTCTACAGCTCCCTGACAGGAGGGGGTAGCGAGGGGGGGTCGGGCTCTGCTCCCAAGTAAGAAATGAAAAGACAAGAGGAAATGGCCTCAAGTTGCCCCAGGGGAGGGTTAGGATGGAGATTAGGAAAAATTCCTTCATGGAAAGGGTTGTCAAGCACTGGCACAGGCTGCCCAGGGCAGTGGTGGAGTCGCCATCCCTGGAAGGACTTAGCAGAGGGGCAGAGGTGGTGCTGAGGGACGTGGGGTAGTGGTGGTTTGGGCAGCGTTGGGTTGACAGTTGGACTCGATGATCTTAAAGGTCCCTTCCAACCCAGATGATTGATTGTATGATTCTATGAAAAGAAGAGACATGTTCCATTACCCCACTCTGCTGTTGCAAAGCACACAGAGACCCTGCTAGAACAAGCTGCTTCCAAGAGTTTGGTCAATACTCCAGAAGCTACAGACAGATGAAACAGCAGCACCTATAACTGACAGTGATGTCAGTCGTTCACAAACCAGAGGTAACGGTGACAGCCAGCATGAATGAATGAAAGATAAGTGCCTGCAAGCTGAGACATGCAAATCAGTCTCCTCTCTGAACATTGGCAAAGGCTCGTCAGGCTCAATTAAGACTTGAAATTGGAATACAAATCTTCAGTTTGCACAAACTCGAGATGGCATCCCTTTGCCTTCATCACGCTGCAGACTATTCTAGTCTAGCTGGTAAAAACATCAGTCCTACTGCTCATCACTCCAGCTACACAGAGCACACTGCTGACTTTGGAAACCCTTAGCACTGAAGCTTCCCCATTCTCAATACTCAAATTTAGATGCCAAGAATGCCCTCACCAACAACAGCTGTTTTCCCTTAGCTGGTACGTGTTCTCCAAAGCCACATGAATAAACTATCCAGGACACGTTAAACGTTCACATCTGCACGTGGACACTGACGTCCCATACAGGGCTATGCTGATACACTAGCAGATGTCTGAAGATAACAGTCAAAATAGTCCTCCAGGTTTTGAAAAAGTGAAGAGACAGAAAGGCTGCAGATATGAGAGCAACTCCCTTTCCCTAATGAGGGCCTCACATTACTTGAAGAAGGGCTGAACATCTGAAATTCTCCAATTCAGTTTCACTTCCGTATGGAAACACAGAATTCAGCTTTTATAAGCATAAATCAGGATTGTGCTGCTGTCTGACTTACCGTCTATTTCTTGTCCGATGGAAAGTCCAGCCCATTTTCTCTGTAAAAACAAGACAAAAGCTTCAGAAAGCCATATCCTTGCATAGAACAAATGCCCACCCAAAATTAGCACCCTCACTCGGAAAAGCAGACTCCCCCGTGAGAACCTTAAAAGCAGCAAAAAAGGCCACAATGGGCTCTGACAAAGACCCCCAAATTACCAGGAAACAAGTCAAAAACACTGAATCATTTCTATTTATAATCCTATTTTCTGACCTCAGGAGGTTGTTCTGTCCAACCTCCTTCATCTTATTGGTCACCCCACCATCACGGAGGCAGAAATTACTGTACCGGATGGGGATTTTGTCATTTTGTTCATTTTCTACTGAAGTTCAGGTGCTGATCACACAAGAGGTAATGCAACGGGCAAGAACGGCCGCTATACACTCTGCGATCATTTTAAAAGCTTACATGTATATAGTAGTTGCAGAAAATTGTTGCGATGTGCCTTAAGTTACAAAATTACCTAAAAACTTGTTCAGAGAACTAGTAAGAATGGAACTGTTCAAATTCTTTAGGTCCCTTTAAATTCCTCTAAAAAGATTCGTGCGGCACAGACCTGCATGGGAAGTGGGAGATGGTTCAATAATTATGTGACACGAAAATCTATGACCTTTACTACGCCACAAGTTCTGTCTTGGTAATTGCAAAAATGGTATTTTTCCAGTGACTCTTTGCTACAGACCAGTTAGTGTATATTTACAGTCCACATCTCAGGCTATGCAGCATTCACCGTCTCTCAAATATCTAAGCCTTAGAGAGGCATGAATCACAAAATATATAAGTATCATTACACAAGGCTCTGGTAAGATCGCATTTGAAATGTTGTACTTTATGGTCATTTATGTTTGGCTTTTTATCTGGAAGAAACAAGTCTGGGAGAAGGAATACAATGACCTTTTTTAAAAAATGAAAATTCCCCTCTCCACTCCCTCTCTTTTATAAGTTTATGGTTCAAAAAGGAAGTTAAACTTAAGGAGAGAATTCCCTTGGCACAACAGGGATCAACCTGATACAAACCAAAGCCCAGAGCGGGAAGTCTTATGTGTATTTACTGGTATTCCCAAGAAGGTGAATACAAATTATGCTGCCATATTTAATCTCATGCTTTACAGCTTCCACTGCTTACGTGCAAGGCCAGGAAGAATTCTCCCCCTCCTGACACTCCAATTCTTCTGCAAAAGACACCCTAAACTCACCTTCACCTGAAGTACCAGGCACTGCTGACCACCAGTGCAAGAACTGGTGCATAAAGGGGTAATGGGCACAAACTTGAACATCGGAAGTTCCATCTTAACATGAGAAGGAACTTCTTTACTTTGAGGGTAGTGGAGCAGTGGCACAGGCTGCCCAGAGAGGTGGGGGAGTCTCCCCCTCTGGAGCCATTCCCAACCCGCCTGGACGCCGTCCTGTGCCACTGCTGGAGGTGCCCCTGCTCTGGCGGGGGGGTTGGACTAGATGATCTCCAGAGGTCCCTTCCAACCCTGACCAGTCTGTGATTCTGTAACTCCTGCAAACACCGGGCTTCGCTGAAACCCTCCAGGTTAAGCCCATCACCAAATTTCAGGACAGGAAGGAAAGTTGTCCAAGGTCAGCTAGAAAGATTAGTTGGGATCTTCCCTGTGGCAAGAGATACCGCTCAATTCCTACGTTCATTTGGGTACTCTGTGCTAAGAAGTTTGTCATCGCTGCCTGGCCCTTCACCTGCTCTGCAGTATACAAAATTTTTCATGGCTTTCGGTATTTAGGCCTAAAAGTTAAGGTTATTACAGAATAAAGGTGGGCACGGAGTTTATGCGTGTAATGAACTCACAACAGACTCTCTTGGAGGTCTCAGGGCCTAAGTGCACATTACCCGACCCTCTGTGAATACAGGAGACAAATACACATTTTGCGGTACGCTGGTTGCAATTACCCAAGGCTTCGGGAAATACTGGAAATCAAATCCTGGCACTCAAATAAAACATTCCTATGCCAGCAGCCGTCACACCTGCTACCACAGTCACTTTTTAGGGTTAAGCAACCCACCTCATTCCCTGGCAGAGCTCTGCCGGCTTTACAATAACTACTGGAATCTGCAAAAATCAACCCTAGACCATGAACGCACCTACTGTAACCCTGCGATACAAATATCTTCTACTGGTAACTGTTTTTCAGTTTGGGCATCACAAGCCATAACTAGGCATATGGCTGACATAACATCCTCTCCACCCACTCGTACGGACAAATCTGAATTTCAACAAGACATCAAAAAGCAAAAAGGAGTTTTGGGGCCTCTGCCAAGTCATCTGCTGAGGAAAAAAAAAGCCTTGCGTTTGCAGCGCAGAGACTCAACTTCTACGCCAGTTCCGAGCCGGAAAATACAACAACATTAAATCACTGACCATGGTTGTCACAGTTTCATGTCATGCGACTCCCTGCGTAAGCCAATTAAAGGCTACAAGATTCATTTTTCTATTTAGAAGTTAATTGTATCAATTATTTATTCTAACCATCACGTAACGTGTGATAACGTGACTTAATTAAGAAAGAAGAGACAAGTTAAATCTATTTTATGCATTACATCGCACTTTTCATCTAGAAATACTAACGATGACTGAGTATAGTCAATAAAACTTTCTGCAGGTCTTTAAAAGAGTAACACAGCAACAAAAACCCTTTACAGCCAAGGGAAACCAGGGAGCAATAAAATTCACAAAGAATAGCAGACACTGCTTAGGCTTTTATTTTTTAAATAGTTTGTTTCTGATGTTTTTTAAAAGGTTAAATTACAGCTTTTCTAGTATTTTTATGCCATGGTGCACTAAAAATAGCGCAAAGTAATATAAGCAATTTTGCTTCAGCTATAGTAAAAGTCTCCTTGAATTTTTGCTGTCAGAAATCAAACTTGCAGCATACATTTCCACAGACATCTCCCTCCAATTAGAACAGTTATCTTCAATCCTGATTTCAAAAGAGATTTTGCTTATTCTATAGCAAAACGATAAGTCAAACCATGCAGTACCTGGGGCAAGCTGAACGCGATGCTGCCAGGAACAACCGAGGAATGGGTTCTCAGCGTGAAAATGTATTTGTGGTTGGGAGAAGTCTTCACAACAACATGTCTAGAAGAGAGAAAAACCAGTATTTTACTCCAATATATACCCAGGACGATTGTCCATCCCTCCCAGTGCTGTGAGAATTCAAAAGAAACAAGCCAGCTTATATCTGGCCCTATAAAGCACAAAACAACAGCTTTAGACCTCCACCACGAGGCAGGCACACAGCAGCCTTTCACAGAGACATAACGTGATCTCGCAGCCCCACTCCAAGACATTGTACTAATAATTACTATTTGCATTCCCCCACCAACAGCCCTTCACTTCAGCAATTGCACTATACAAATGTGAGAGGACCAAACTACAAGCACAAAGACCAAGGCTGCTACATCTAAAAATCAACTCTGGTTTCACATCGCAAGCATCCAACACCAAAGCCTCGACGTTTTACCTCCATAGAAGCGGTATACCCCAGTCGTGATTTCAACAAGAACTGGATGCAAAGCCTAAACAAGGATGTCAGTGTATTGTCTAGAAGTCTGATTGCAGAAAAAAAATGGAAGGAATTCCTGTACAAAAAGGAAAACCACACAGGCGCTGAGGCTGTTCCTCCTGTTTGCTAGTGACCGAGAGATTTTGAACTCAGACAGCACTAGCAGAGCAGAAACAAGGTTATAAAAAAAGAACAATACAGTCAGGAGGAGACACGGCAGCAGTTGCATGTGGCTGGCTGTCACCCGCAGAAGCTAAGCTGACAGGAACAAAGATACCCAAAAGCTGCTTATAGTTATCCTCAGACTATGCCCGATAGCTCGTATCATGCAATAGGCAGACTTCTTTTAGGCATACGACCGCAAAACAAAAGGAAGATGGGATTTGTGTGCAGGGACAACGGCAGAATCAGGTTCCACCTCATCATCTTCCCAACTGCCTGTACTTCAACCACCCCTTGGGTATACGAGACCACCAACCCCTGCGGTGTTCCCCTCTCACCAACCCTCTTACCCACGGTCAGAAACTAAGGGCCGCATGGACTACGCCGACAGCCCCGGCCCGCACTCCCGGCCCCCCTCCCTCGCTGGCACGGCATGGATTACATACACAGATACTCCGTATATTTTCATTTCCATAAGCACAGCGAATCCAGCACCATCCAAAAGCAGATCTGTGGCACACGTATACATTGGCTACGCTGTGTACGCATAACAGCTTCAGCCACATGGCAGGAAAGCGCATGTGGCCCTTTGAGACTGGAGAAAATGTGTGCCCCGCACAGCCAAAACCACTAGACATCACTAGCTCTTGCCCAGGCAGACAGGGAAGCTTGCAAAACCTCCCCAAGAACCGCTAGCGCTTGGTGGCACAGCAGGGTAAGAAAGCATTTTAAACGTATCACACAGCGACACATCTCTTCTCGGGCAGGTGGACCACGGATTTGAGTCTTCACTGGTTCTGGCCCTAAATCACCCATCAGCTGCCCAAAACCCCAGCTGTAGGGACGTGCACCCCTCCTTGTCCATCTCCACCTGCCCCACGTTTCTGGATAAACCTGTTATAGGTGGTTTGGTTCACTATAAATCTTACAGAGGGAGAGCACGACATGTAATGTTGCTTCATGGAGTCCAGGGAAGGTTTCCCAGGAGTTGGAGAAAGCAGATGTCACTCCTATCTCCAGGAAGGGCCAGAAGGAGGATCCAAGGAACTACAGCTGGTCAGCCTCATGTCAGTCCCTGGGAAAGCGATGGAGCGACTAATCCTGGAAGCCAAACGTATTCAAGGACAAGAAAGCGAGTGGGAGTAGTCAGCACGGATTTACCAAGGAAAATCAGGGCTGACCAATGTCACAGCCTTCTGCGATGACGTGGAGAGCTCCGAGGATGAAGGCAGAGCAGTGGATGCTGTTTATCTCAACGCTAGCAATGCTTTCTACACTGCCTCGCACAACAATCCCTGCAGACCAACTGATGAAATACGGATTAGTTAAGCAACCACTGCGGTGGACTGAACACTGCCCGAGCCACTGGGCTCCGAGGGCTGTGGTCAGCAGCACAAGGCCCAGCTTCAGGCAGTTCGCTAGGGGTGTGCCTACCCCGGGTGTCCATATGGGGCCAAAACTAATTAAACTCTTCTTTCCTGACCAGGGTGATGGGACAGAGCACACACTTAGCCTGTCTGCAGGTGAGGCACCTGCCGATTGTGCCGCCATTCAGAGGGACTTTGACAGAGTGGAGATGGGCTGACACAAATCCCATCAAGTTCAATACAGGAAAATACAAAGTCATCCACCTGGGCTCTGGAGCCCTCAACAGCAGAAGGAGACGGAGCTGTTGGAGCGGGGCCAGAGGAGGCCCCAGAGATGCTGGGAGGGCTGGAGCCCCTCTGCTGGGAGGACAGGCTGGGAGAGTTGGGGGGGAGAGCCTGGAGAAGAGAAGGCCAAAAAGGGGAGAGCTCAGAGCCCCTTCCAGTGCCTAAAGGGGCTCCAGGAGAGCTGGGGAGGGACGCTGGATCAGGGAGGGGAGTGGTGGGATGAGGGGGAATGGCTTCAAACTGGAAGAGGGGAGATTTAGATGAGATATCAGGGAGAAATTGTTGCCTGTGAGGTGGTGAGCCCCTGGGGCAGGTTGACCCGAGAAGCTGTGGCTGCCCCATCCCTGGAGGTGTTCAAGGCCAGGTTGGACGGGGCTTGGAGCAACCTGGGCTGGGGGGAGGTGTCCCTGCCCAGGGCAGGGGGTGGGACTGGGTGAGCCTTAAGGTCCCTTACAACGCAAACCATTCTGTGATTCTACGACAATAATCTCATGCACCAGCACAGGCTGGGGGCCAACTGGCTGGAAACTGGCTTTGCGGAGAAAGACCTGGAACTCTGGTGGCCCACGAGTTGAATGTGAGTCAGCAACGTGCCACTGCAGCAAAGGTGGCCAACAACATCTCCGGCTGCAGCAGGAAGAATGTTGCCAGCAGGCCAAGAGAAATGATCCTTCTGAGACTGAATGTTGCTCCAAGGACTGTTTCATTTTACATTGAGTAGCAGATAAAATAGAGAAGCTGTCCAGGAAGGCAGGACTGAAATCAGGAGGTTTCCAGCACAGAGTTTATCAGCCTGAGTAATTCAAATTAGTATCAATACACAACCAACTGGAAAGCAAGGTATTATGTTGCAGAGTGTTGGACAAACATGCCTGTAGGCAAAATACAAGTTCCAGCTATGCTGCTGGAATACCTCACCAAGAAATATGCTTGATGACAAATAACACCCTACCAGACACAGCTCATCAGACAGTAAAAGACACAAGACTAAAGCTTCTTAAGAGTGAGATGGACCCTGAGCAATGCACTAAGTTTGGCTCAAAACACAACAGTGACTTTAATGTGTATATAGATTCAGCACCTCTGCAGGAAGAAACAAACTCCACCGCTGTTGGGTTTCACTTCAAAGAAGCGAAATGCAAGAAAATGAGGATACCTGGTAAAAATACTGCAGGGAGGGGAGGGGGGGAGTTGTCTGCAAAGATTTGATACAAATTAAAATTACTATATTGGAGCATACCATTCACCAAAACATTTCCAGCAGACCAGAAAGACAGCAGAGCCCAACAGCAGGCAAATGGATGCCAGGAAGAAGAACAGGGGGGAAAAAATGGAAAAAAAAAAAAAAAAAGATTAAAAAAAGATCAGCTTTCTGAAAAAAAATCTCTAGCTATGTAAGAAGATTAGAAAGGTCAAATCCTGACAGATTCTTTGAGAAAAATCTGCAAAAGGCACAAGAACAACCATGTTTCTTCTCAAAGACAGCAGGAGCAGGCAGCTTCCAACAGGCTGTAAGCAATCCAGAGCATTAACAATGTTCAAACTAAGGCAATAACAGGGAAAACTAAATGCATTTCACTACATTGATGTTTGCCAGAAAGGAGCTTGGAGAGCTCATGGAGACACATGCGGGAAATCTCAACCTCATTAACAGCTTCCGCTTATAAAGGAACAAAAGGAACAGAGAGTCCCCAGGGCCAGATCGCTCCCAAGAGATGAAACTGCTGCTCTAACCTGTGCGTAAAGCCTTGCCCGAACCCATCAGAACCAAACCACGGCTCTGATGCCAATTTAAGAAATTAAGAAGGGCTCCAGACCCAGGAACCGGTCGGTCGGTAAGCCTGCTGGCCAAGCTGAGCAAACCAACAGAAACTATAATAGATGATATTAACCTGTGTGTCCAGGAGTTTTTACGTTTGTGAAGAAGGAGCATAGCTTTTTTACAAGAGCGGATAACTTACTTATCTATGCAAGGGTGCCAGTAAGCACCTGAACTACGCGGGCAGATAATTCCTCTGGTGAATGTCTGGAAACCCACGTAAATCATTCTGCAAGGCTCCTCGGGGGCTCTTCAGGCAACTACACTGGCACGAGACAAGAGGGATGGTCTTCCCATGTGAAAGGCAGGAATCAAAGCTAAGAAAAATAAGTCAGTTCTCAACATAATAAAAAATTGCCATTGAGATAAGGGTCCAGGTCTACGGGGAGGTATCCTTGCCCACGGCAGAGGGGTTGGAACTAGGTGTTCTTTAAGGTCCCTTCCAACGCAAACCATTCTTGACTCTGTAACCCACCCTGGCTTCCTCCCAGACTGCTCTCCCCTGCACTGCCTGGGTGGTTTCAGCGCTTGTTCCTCTCTTCAAAATACATTGGGAGTCCTCAAGATAGAAGAATGTCACAGGAACTTAAGGCAGTGGAACTTATCAAACCAAAACAGTGCTCTAATAATGCTTGGCATCCCATGAACTCACGCGTCACAGAATGGTGACTCACACTCGTCCAACTTGCAGGATGCGGAAAACGAAGCGTGAAAAGATTGAGAGCAGCATCTCGGAGATAAACCAGCTCACTGACCCAAGGGCAAACTCCCAGCTCAAGACCACCAGCACCAAACGGAAGTGTTAAAGCAAAGGTTTTTGTGTAACCGTTACCAAAAAGCCCTCTGTGCAGCCAGTCGTGGTTAGGACAATACCAACCAAATCTGCTGACTGTGTGCAACCTACTGCAGCAGATCACAGGGATGGTCTGGCTCAGCGTATCTGCAATGCAGCAGAATGACTCCATCCTTCAGTAGCAGCTGAGTATCGTGATGTTTCGCTGCACTCCAGTCTTACACTTTTCAAAGCAATTTATAGCATCTGCTCACAACCAAACATATGCTGCGTCCCTTACGAGCCCCGATTTCTAGAAATAAGCAGCTCTCTCAGGGAGAGTCAGTACGGGCAGAATCACGGCCAGCCTGTGTGCCGGGCAAGTCTCGGGATATTGTTTCCTGCATGCGATGAAAGAGGGTTCTCGGAGTGAAAGTAAAGCCGCTGGCTGCTGCAGGTCTGGAAGCTGGGTCCCTCCAGGACATTCATCTTTGAGGAAATGAACATTTTTATTATGCATGAGGTACAACGCTCAGTTCAGGTATTTTTGTAAGTCAGTTACTTTGAAAAAAGTCCACCTGGGGAAAAAACCATCATTTGAAGAGACCCGGACACTACCCTGTCCAAGCAGACACTTTTGCCTGCTTCTGACTCTAAAAGTTGTGCTCATTTGGGGTTTTACTACTTTTTCCGGGGTGGGGGTGGAGGAGGAGGTGGTGTTTTTGTTTTGGCAGTTTATACTAAAGTTGGGCTTGCAAAATCACATTTAAGGTAACCACTAAAGGGCCAGGACAGCTCTCCGGGGTAGCAGCACAGCAGACTGACAGCACAAAAAGGCAAATCTTAAAATACACCACTCCCCTGTTCCCCGCAGTTCAGAGCCGCTTCATTCCCCATCCTTAGCAGAATTCATCCGGGCCAGGTACTATATGCTGAGGCCCGAAGCGTATCATACAGTATCTTTTTTAATGTTTTTTCAAACCTAAGCTCTTCTGCCTTCCACTGCATGTGATGCTTTCCCTGTTGAAATTAATTACTTCTGTCTATAATCTACACATTGGAATCTTTTAGAGAGTCGCCGTACAGTCGCAGCAAAGCAAGGGAACTAATTATCTGAACTGGTTTCTTTTAATACAAAGCCCTTCTGTGTGGGCTGAGAAATTAAAGTGTTTTCTCCCTTTCTCCCAAAAGTAAAATCTAGCGCCAGCTTCCATCAGTCACCACAGAATTGTAATTAAAGAATCCAAATCATTGTGCCCACACCCTGGTTGTCTTCCCCGTTTCTTCTTGGGCATGAAAACCCCTAGAACAAGAGCGAGTTTCTACTGACTCCACTCAGCACTCCAATATATGATGCAAAAGTCAGAAAGATGCTCATAGTACCACAATTAAATGATAAAAATCTACTTGAAATAGCTCAAATATTCTATGTAACAGGAAAACAGGAACAAAAAAAATCAAGAGGCCCGAAGTCCTTCATTAAAATAGTGATAATAATTAGATAAGCAGATCCAGTGTATGAGCAAGAAATGCTTCAGAGAAATATTTACTACTTTTTTTAGTATCTCCAGATCTGAGAAAGAAGCACATTTAAAGTTTTGGTCTCTAAAGACGCAGAAGTTTTGTTAATTAACCTACCGTATTTACCTTCACAAATCTGAAATTCCATTCCACCTCCACCCAAATTTTGAAAACAATTCCTTTGTGGTTAAAAGTCGAAAGAGCAACAGCGCACACTTACTGCCCAGATGGGAAGTCCTTCTCATTCACCACAGCACAGTTGGTTAAGGACAGCTCATCAGTGGGACATCTTGCTGCTTGCATAGACTACAAGAGAGAAAGAGGGAGGGGAAAAAAAAACCTATCAAATACAAGTTTTATTTTCCCTTTACTAAACCAAGCCTCGAAATTTCTGTAAATCCATAAAACACAAATAGGTCTCATGAGTATTAACACGCTGTGAGAGCACAGTCTGCTGGCACTGACAAGCTCCTCTCTTTCTTCACGGTTTCTCCAAACGCTTTTGTTTGATACAGATGTTTGTACCCAAAAGCTCTACATTTATGAGTCTGGTATACCTAATGTTTTCTATCATGTCTAAGAAAGTACCTAAAAATTACCTAAGAAAAAGCCTTCAAGGCGAATGCTGTTAATTTGCGAGTGAACCCTGGTGTTCCTGCCACTTCCCTGAACCCCACAACATGCCAGCAGGTAGCAAAGCATTCACTGGAAGGCATCTCTTGCCAAGTAACGACACTGGGATATTCTGAGAGCTGGTAAGGCAAAGCAGCCTAGAGGCAGACCAGTTCCACTACAACCCTGGGTAACCCTGGCCCGTAACGCTGTGCTGGGTTGGAATCATAGAATCATCTGGGTTGGGTGGACTCGATGATCTTAAAGGTCCCTTCCATCAACCCAACGCTGCCCAAACCACCACTACCCCACGTCCCTCAGCACCGCCTCTGCCCCTCTGTTAAGTCCCTCCAGGGATGGCGACTCCACCACTGCCCTGGGCAGCCTGTGCCAACGCTTGACAACCCTTTCCGTGAAGACATTTTTCCTAATCTCCATCCTAACCCTCCCCTGGGGCAACTTGAGGCCATTTCTTGTCCTATCGCCTGTTCCTTGGGAGAAGAGACCAACCTCCCCCTCACTACAACCTCTCAGTTAGAGAGACTATGTGGGGAATAGAAGGTGGAATAAAGATGTTACCATTCTTCTTCCCTCACTTTACTCAGAAAACTGGAATTTGAGCACATCCATTCTGGGTATACATAGTTCAAACAAGGCAGCACAGGGCAGGACTGAAAGTCCACAGGAAGGTTTAATTCTCAGCCAGCCCCAAACCAACTCCACAGTCTCTCTACAAAACTTCCCAAAAGAACTGTCACAATGCAAATAATATTTCCTACTCTATAGGAAACATCACAGATAAATAACAAACAGAAGAAAATTACGTTAAACAGACAGTTCCAGCCTATCGTTATTAAAAAAAACACTGTAACAAATTTAGGGGGGGTGTCCTCCCCCCTCCTTTTTTTTTGGGTTTTTTTTTTTCCCCCTGAAGTTGAAGAAGAAATCCTATTTCAAATGTTCTGTTTCTCCCCTCCCCCTCCATTACTCAAAGATCAGCAGCAAAAATAACCAAATCCCGCCACCCCCAGCCCCGGCTGCCCCTTCCCATGAGCAGACAGCACACAGCACACGGGGGGGGGCACAGCAGCGGAGAACCAAGGAGAAACCTCAGCCCTTTCCTGCATCCCTAACCCCATCTGCTTCTGCGGAATTATTCCACAAACAGCAGCTGAAAGATGAAAATTGGGCTCAAAATGCCTCTAGGAGTGGAGAAAAGGATGGTAAAGGCAAGATGTCCCTACCATTAGCTATAGACTGAAAAAAATAATTTGGAGAAAAGCTAAACTTGACCCTCAGGATGTTATTTTTAGAACCAAAGCACAACTATTTTCTGTGTCAGACACAAATTCGCAGGCGCTGCAACAGAAACTGTCAGTGCCAACCTACTGCTAAAAGCAATGCAGAAGGGACTTTCACTCAAGACACCCGTAAATCCCAGTAACAGGAGAAGGAAACACGCTGACGCCAACACACACATCTAGATAATTTCCCCTGAGTTACCATCCTGATCAACCTTTCATCCCCGACCCCTTCGGGCCATTTGAGAAAAGAATCAGAGAAAATTCATCTCCACGTGGACCGAAGCAAGCCTGCCCTGCAGCTCAAACCAACTTTCTATGTCATAATGTCATCCTCCCAGAGTACTTGTTATTTAGAAAAGGACAAACTCGTTATTTTTATTGAATAATGCCCAATTGCCCTTGACTGATGTGACAACGCAAAAGGATTCCGTTTTCAGCCTTGAAATAGATTTATCTACCTGAAGCTCAAGTGGAATAAGAGACTCAATTAAATATTCTTCTAATAAAAAAAAAAAAAAATACATGAACATCAGTGAACTTCTGAAATACACAACCTGCCTGTTAAGGCTCACCATCTTCGGGCACTTCACAGCAAAAAAAGCAGGCACCATTTTATCATTTCTCCTTCCATTTGCGAGGGGACTCTTGTGAAGGACATGCCCTGATAAAACGCATTAGGTAGGATATTTCTGGAGAAAACTGAACGCGGCGCTCCTGGATTAAACCTTTTTACAGCACTAGTCCTCAACTGCATTTTTAATCCTTACTGACAAACTGCTTCCTACATGTTAACAGCAAGCGCCTGGCAAAGCTGCCGTTCTTTTGCGTTATTTCTGTCTGCCGTTGGGAACGTGCAAGCTTTGCTTTAGGCAAATGCATAAACATAAAGGAATGCATTTCAAATCCAGCACCAAGTGCTCCTTCTGCAAGCTCCACAATACGATCGATGCGTGGCAAACCATCCTTAGGTATCAGACACGTGAAATAACGTAGCTGGTTCTGCAGCAGTACCAGCACTGCCTGCACCAGCCATCCCATAGCCCGGCACGTCCTCCTTCGGGGGAGTTGGGCAGAAGCCCATTTCTCCCTTGGCAATGACCAACATTGTCTATAACCTACGCCGTGCTCTCGGCTCTCCAGTACACTCCCTCCTGAAACTCCAAGGCCATTTTGCAGAACTTCGATACATTATCAATACAGAGAAGTGGTTTTACCGTAACACAGCTCATGCAAGAAACGGGCGTCGCTCAATGGGTGCAGGTTTTCACGCGTGTACAAGGGACAATTTGAGGAAATCGGGTCATTTAAGAGATGACGATTAAGCTGGAAAGCACCCAGAGAAGAAGGAGGAGCACTGTTCTCGTGAACTTCACGTGCTTCCTCTTACCTGCCGCCAGCCCAGTGCTCAGCCCCCAGCACCAGGGCTCACCGGGGTCCTCATCTTGTCTGCCACGCAACTGCGCCGGCGCAGCAAGGACGGGGGCATTGGCTGCTCCCCAGTTTTTCTGGCACAAACGCAGCGGCCAAAGCTGTAACATGAGCCACTGGAGCCTGGAGGGCTGCCATATGCCAGTGGCAGTATTGTCAAGGAACACTTCAAGCTCTTGCATTTTGGGTTGCAGCTTCCCAGGACACCAGCACAAGGACTCCCGGACCGTCGCACCCTCTCCCCTCTCTGCCACCCCCCACTGCCTGCCTGCGCTCTCACACCACCCGTCACGGAACAGAGGAAGCAAAATCCTTCAGAGTGTTTCTAAGAAATCTTCAAGTGTATTTACACAAGCTAATTTTAAGCGATCGAGCGGGTTACTGCTAGCAACCAGGCAAGGCAACGTAAAGCTCAGCTCGAGCAGACCGCTAGAGCAGATGCCATCTGCTGCAGTTACACTGCTGTCACTGCTGGTTTGAAGGTGACCCGGGTACATCTTCACAGGTTGCAGTTACGCCCATGTCCACAATATAGACACATTAGGCTTAAAGTAGCAAATGAAGTCTTCCCTGCCTCCAGTTATTGCTCTGCTTTATGCAAGGAGACTCTAAGGACAGTAAAGTTCTAGGGAGGTGACTCTCATCTGAGACAGTGTCTTCGTTCTAACGCGTCCTCAGCGAGAGGCATCCATCACCGGTCATGCAGCATCCGCTATTAAATCCATGTCTACGCAGAGGTCTACTGCAATGGTCCTTCTGTTCACCAAGAGAAAAATGACACCACATGACACATGGGTAAATCTCATGCTGAAAGACAAACGTGAAGGACCTCACCTTTGGATTTATGACAATGCAGTAATTTTGCCTCTACTCCTCTGCTACTGAGCTGGTGTTAACCATGAAAACCCAGCGCCAGGAGGCCCGTTGATGCTGACATATTTTACTTTTGCAAAGTAAAAATTGCCCCAAAGAACAAACAACTTCGTAACAGAAACAATCACCGTAACATCTGATGTTTCAGAGATATTTTTTTCAAAGTCGCATGGATTCTAGTTTTCCTCCATAAAAATATAACCAACATTTTCTTGCATTTCAGGAGAGCTCAGCCCAGCAAGCAATGCTCAGTTATTTGGATATTTGCATGCATACATAAAACACACCTTTTCCTCTTCTGAATTTCAAAACAAGCATCTGAAGCAAAAGCAAAGCCCTGCTGGTTTAAAATATGACTGGGGAAAAGAATGAATAATAAAATCTCCAGAATATTACACTCAGTACACTACATTACATTGTTACGTGGGCGAGCACATAGTACAAAAATATGGTTAATATTTGTGAATTGTTAAGGCTGATGACAGAAGCAGCTAAAGAAAAACACGTTTCCCATTACTCAGACCCCACAGGAGGTTAAGTTGGTGGTGCATAATACAAGTGCACTGCTACCTGTCAGTCGTTACTGAATAGAAGAGGCAAAATATTATATGCTAAGGCAGAGGCGCTCTTCATTTGAAACAGCTTAACTCGTTTCATTTCCTAATCCCACCCAAGAGATTACGAAACAGCTTCTAAAGCTGAGGCAGGTTTTGTTCTGTGCACTGTTTCTACAGGGTCTGTATAAGACAAATAGTTGAAGTGCTGTACGTTTAAAATCTTCTTTTGTGTAAAACATACAGAGAGATATATATGCACACATGTATATGCACCCGTACATATATATAATTTCTGTCACGCCGAGGTTGGCAGACATCTCTGGGTACTTGAAATTTCAGTTTCCTCTGGAGAGTCCGCTGCCAGCTGTGTAGAAATGGGGATCCCCGCTCCAAAAAACTCCACTGTAACAGCTGTCGGGCACCAAAGTACCTCTAAGCCTGGAGCTCCATCACCCTGAGAAGGAGACAACGAAGAACCTCTGCAGGAGATATTCTGGGGAAGAAAGTTTAGTCCACGTTTACTAGGGAC